TCCATTTGATCGATCGCCGTACTTTGAGAAAAGCTTGAAGTGCAAAATTCACAAGGAAGATTGAAGAATTTCGGAAATAAAAACTGTTTGTCTTCGAGTTTCACCTATTCACCCCCCGGTTGAGAAAAGTAACAATTATGTAATGTTGGAGTCACGTGACCAGCGTTTACCAGGGCTATGTCGCCGCCTTCAATTCGCGACTAGCCCTGGGTACGAGGTTGTACAGCCTCCTCTGTAATACAATCTCCTATTACAAATAGATTTTGATGCACCCGTATTGTCACGTGACAGAGAACAATAACATAATTTCGCCACGCCCCCAGCTTCCAAACCCTCTCCTCTATTAACTATGGTCAAATTCAACGAATTCAACCGCAAAGGTAAGATGCCAAAGTATGAATAGAACGTAAATCACTTTTTGATGGGATTATAGATAAAACTGTGGGAGACACAAGCCTATTAGTATTATAAATAGTGTATAGTGCATTAGCTGTGTATTCTCAAATCATATAATATTAAATTGTTTCAATAATATTACGGGTATAAATATTCATGAAATCTACTTTAAATTTCACAGGTATGCGAGTTTCTTATAACAAGAGGTGTTGTAGAAGAAATAGTGGAAAGATTTCGTTTTGAAAAGGTTTGTTTTAAGGCCACATAAAATAATTCCTTGATTCTCATCACTACACTTTGAAAATGTCGAAGAGCCGGGAGGTTTATATTTTATATTTATATAATTTATCAATAAATAAAAAAATAATTCCTAACATTTAATATTTCTGTGATTTCCAAAGTAAAGTATCACAAACCGAATTAAACATATTTCTCCACGAACAATGACTGAACCCTTCAACTGAATGCGAAGTTCCGTTAAAATGCAATGAAATTTCTTTCAAGGTTCTATTCAGGGGCGTAAATGTGGGGGGTGTGGGGGGGGGTTCACCCCCCCCAGAGAAATGATCCAGTCGGTCTCAAACTACGTGCAGTCGGTCTCAAAATTATGCGTTTGTTTACACGCAGTGCTTTGTGAAGCAAATGAAATATTTTCGAAACTCGAGATAGACTAAAACTATTGAGTATTGAGTTGGAAATTGGCTCAAACGGATCAAGCAGCTCAGAAATAATATGAAGAAATATTACGTACATATTTCGCGAGTTTATGAACGAATTATCAGTCAAAACACGCGCAAAGGGATGAAGTTTCCAAACATGGAGATATCCACTTTACGATTACGTGTTGGCACTTTTATTTGGAATTTAGGTTCTGCAACGTCATTCACGGGTGATATTCTATATTAGCGAAAATTTCAAACCCCCAAAATCAGACTCCAAAATGCGATGAATCTCGATCAAAATAGCTAACATTAGTTACAATATTTCTCCGGTGCAAAGTGCAAAAACGAATTTCTAGCCGAGTTATATTAGGAAGTATGTTCACATGTAACACAATATGCATATGAATTTTGTTACCAAAGAGTTTTTTGTGCCTACTGCAATCAAGAAATTCAATCAATGAGCGACGCAATGGTTTATCTGAAATAACGGAGCGAAAAATTAAACGTTTCCACTGACTAAGCGATGTTTCCAATTGTTGCTTACAGTCAGGCCCATAACTAGGTATATGAGTCAATCGAGTTCAAGTTCAATGACAGACTGTAGTTCTCTCCATGTAAAGAAGCATTATTCTTGCCCTACAGTGACGTAAGAAATGAGAGGCTGTGTGGGTGCACAAGTACCCCAATAACAAAAGTGCGGTCCAGCGCCCAAATATTACAACAATTGAGCACAAACGCTTTTTTATTATGCACCTGATCAATTATGTTCGACCAAAAATATTTGTAATTCTTATCCTCAGGATTGGGGGCAAACTACAGTATAAAATTATAGTCATTGTGTCATTATAATATGAAATAGACACTTCCCGAATTTGCTTGAGTGCACACGAAACAATAGCTTGGAATCGAGGCGGACAATGTAATCCATTGGAAATAAGTATAGTTTTCCAATGGATTACATTGTCCGCCTCGATTCCAAGCTATTGTTTCGTGTGCACTCAAGCAAATTCGGGAAGTGTCTATTGATTTTTCGTTTGAACTCCTCCCAGAATGCAGGAAATAGCGTTTCTATATAAGCATTAGAAAATCAAAAATTTTCTGGGGGAGCATGCCCCCAGACCCCCCCCCCCCCAGAAGTGTATCGGTCAATCAAAAATCCTATAGTTACGCGCCTGACAGTTCCGCATCAGGCGAGCGCAGCTTTTCAATGAACTGTTATGTGTTCAGTAATGAACCAGGAACGCCTTGGTGAACTCTTGACTCTTGCGTGTGAGCGCTATCTAACAGACACGATCGATCTTCAGACGAAATCGCTAATCCGTGGTCAAACCTTACTAAGCGCGGACACTTAATACAAATATAACGTTTCACAGCAAACTGTACGTGTTCTTGCAAATTCCTAATAAATGCCATCAATTTCCATGCTTTGTACTCAATTTTATTGCGACACACCAACTCACCAAGAGTCGGTCTGGATTCACATTTCAGTGGTGGGTCGGTCTCAATTCGTGGCTACACCCTCCCAGTCAAAATCGATATGTCCGCCCCTGATTATAGGAGTGTAAACAAAAAATTTAAAATATAGCTATTGGTATCCTATATAACGAGTTTGCACATCTCGAGTTTGCTTTGGAAGAGCCGTTGTACTTCAATGCTACAATTATTTTATCCATATCTCACGTTTTGTATGTTCCATTTTAAAACTGCTTTCAGCGATACTTTGGCTAGTAGAAACTATATCATTTTGTCTAAATTTGCCCATTTAGCGATGTTTTCGTGCCGCCGTGCATGGTTCTTACGTTCTTGGCAACATTTGCACATCTCGGGTCATTTACAACACACACCATACTATATCCACAAAAAATTTGGGAGAGATACTCTCTGATTCACTTGTTCCATTTTTATAATGAACACTGCGAATTTTTGAAGCTGTGACAGCAAATTTTCATGGCGATAATTTTCACGGCAAAACGAAATTTGCAGATAAACAAGGCCAATTTTAACAATGAATCCTTCGAGTAACTCGGTCATGTTTAGTATCAAAATAAAGCTTAGGAACCACGCTATTCGAAAATATAAACAGACGTTGCCGATGCCTAATCTCCTGGGGCAAGAAAGCGCTAGTATTTTACTTCCGGTTTTGTTGATGGCGGGATTAATTCGGGAATATGAACATGTAAAGTCTATGTTTGACGTTCTGAAAGCATTGGATTTACATGAATGTAATCAAGAGATTTCCTTTTCAACGAAAAGATGCCTTACTCATGTAAGGTATTTACATACAGCCTTTATTTATCTATTGAACATTGCCTAAGTTATCAATTCGAGAAAATCAAAATAATAGGCCTACATACATGTTATACTACACTGGCAGTGTCTGGCACGGACCGTAACTCGAGATTATATATAGAATCAATAGTAATAATAATAATAACAATAATAATAGCATTTATTTAAACACGATAGTAAATTTACAGCGTAGCTGATGTGGTCGTGCAATCAATGATTACAATCATGAATTTTTCTTTGCGCAATGACCCCTTTAGACCTCTAGCATCGCAAAATTTTTAGTTTTTTTTATTGCCGCCGTGTCGTATAAAACCGCCGAAGAAAACAAGGGCAATTGCCTATAATCGAATAAATTGATACGTTTCGGGCTTCTCGTTTCGGCCATTTTATTTTGCTATTATCATACTGATGCACATTGGGAAAGGTCGTGCGCTATCAAATTATCAAGAAGAAACACGCTGAACAAATTGTCAAGACATTATAACAGAGGATAATTGATTATTGCTTCAGTTAATGGCTATCAGACTATATTATAAAACAATTATACCATTCGCTCTCGCCGTATATGGTTGATAGGCGACTCGGTGCTACGCACCTCGTCGGCTATCAATACGACTCGAGCTCATGGTATAATTGTTAAATATATATATATATATATATATATATATATATATATATATATATATATATATATATATATATATATA